CTCAACGCCTGCTCTTCGTAGAGGCTATAGGCAAGTTCCCTGCCTTGGTTTTAGGGTGTCTTTTGACCTCGGGAGTGGCCTCTCTTCGCCCCTTAAGTTTTGCCTTAACACCATTCGCAAGCTCTGCCTGCTGCGCTGCCGCAACCCGTGTGCAGAGGTCAAGCGCCTTGTGCTGCAGTCCTTGGTTCACTCTGCAACGGGCCAGCGGGACCACCTCCCCGCCTGAAGCGGACTTGCGCGCTGTTCGAGCTGAACCCAGGGGATCCTTATTGGATGGACTGGAGAGCTCTCATCGCTGCGTGGCGTCTTGTTGCCAACCGCCCGCTTGGCTTGACACCGTTGCTCTGCCCCTTACATGTACGCCCTGGACCGCCCTTGTCCCGGAGGCTTGTGTGTTGGCAAGGCTTGGCTGGTGCACCTCACTGGATGGCAGAACCATCTACAGGACTGATGACAGTGATAGTGTCACGCATTGGCTGGGATTCATTGCTGTGCTTCGCCAGTGGCTCATAGATGCCCATCAGCTCGCAGGGGTGCACCGATGTGGCCGGGTCAAAACTTCCCTGTGCAGAAAGGACCCACAAGGTGTTCGCGGGTTGCCACGCACTTGGGGGTCACAAGCAGCTTGGAACCTCAGGCCCGCTTGCTGTCCGACGCGCGGTTCTTGCAACAGGGTGGTACTGGAGTGCATCCTTGGTTTTGCTCAGGGGTACTGATGTCAGTTGCATGTGCCAAATCGGTTCCAGCGGTCCTCATGTCACGTGGACGTGCCCCATTACGGCGGCTTGCAGCGAAGGCCTCACGATACCTCGTGAGAGAGCTGCTGAAATGCTCTTCGCAGCAGCAGTTCCTGAGTGGCCGAGTGCACCGCCGACTCTCACTTACAAGGCACTCCTTGGTGACATCTCCGACCACTGCCGGCAGTTGCTGTCCAGCCAGGCATTTTTCAGATTGCCACCGACGGCAACTTTTTTCCACGGTGTAGGTGGTTATGCTGTGGTCATTGCCGAGCCTGATGGTGTGTTTGCTACTGGCGACTCGTCTGAGGACCGGTCAGCTTATCGCCAGGAAGCCCTTGCCATGCTTGCATTGTTTCGTGGCCTCCTCAGCCTGGCAGGCACCTGCACAGGTCGCATTCATCTTATATGATTGTGAGGCGGTTGTTGCAGGGAAATCGCCCATGCGCAAACCGGTTTGCAAGCCAGAAGCCTGCTCACTGACCCAGTGTGGACCCTCAGCCATGGGCAAAAACCTTCTTGGTGTGCGCCTGCAGGTCCGGACTCCGTTGCCTGTGGGGAGCTCAACGCAAAAGCTGACTCCGCTGCAAACTCTGAGAAGGAGAACCGTTGGCACCTGGCACGAGGCCCATCGTGCTGCTGTCAACTGGGAGCTTGCGGCCATTAGGGCTTCTGCTGATAGCACAGCGACCTCCTTAAAGCGCACATTGCAAAGCCTGTCCCTGGCCCCTTTGCACCCGTGTGAGCGCCTACACAACGCATTGGGAGCTCTCCTGGCCCCTGGCTGGGACGAGGTGCTTATCTGTTCACTTGCAGGCCTCCGTGGCCCACATTGCTTTAGCCTGCCTCTCTGCACTTCCGTGTGCCGCCCATCTCATCGCACTGGATGCTCTTCTGGCCTTGTGACTTGTGCTGGGATGATGGTCCTGCTATGAGTTTGGTGGTTGTGCGTAGTTCCTCTTGCTAGCCTGTAGCTCCTGTTTTCCCCTGCTTGCTGCAGGTTGCGATGTAATCATCGCCTTTGTTGCCTTTAGGAGTTTTCACTAGAGTGGAGATTTGCCAGTTCGACTTTTGCTTCCTGGCACCTTGACCGCTTGTTTCATAGTTTGGCTTGATCATCAGTCAGCTCAGGTTTCGCTGTGTGCAGCTGGCTTCCTTGGCCCTATTGCGGTTCACGCCGACTAGCGAAGGATTGCACAGTGGACGGACTCGAGCCTGCCGCTGTGTTCGATTGTTTGGTCCTTGAAAACAGGCACCGCCGGGCTCGCTTTAGGGAATTGTTGGAAGGGTTGCAGGAGGGATGGGAGGGCGGGATCTTCCTTTTAGACGCCGCTCTGCGGAGCCTCAGGAAAATGCAGTTTCAGTTTTGCCGATTTTGAAAAATTTCAGCTTGAATTTGAGTACATGTCGGTTGGAGTTCAGTCATGTTCTTGACTTCGTGCAGCTGCGAAACCATGCTTACATACATGTCAGTTTTCAGCGCAGATTTTAGTTTTCCCACCCACCACTCCCTGGTGGGGTTAATTTGGGGAAATTAACCTTTGTCTCACAGGTGTGGAATGGCGCAACCACACAGGTTCGCATTCGGCACCTTGAGACGCTTACCACCATCCTGAGAAAAAAAAGTTTCGTCCCCGCTGAACACCTGTGCTTGCAATTTCATATTTGTAAATATATTTGTTGCTGATTGAATAGTATTTGAGTTGATTGAGTGAGTGATTCAAATTACATGTGAACAAGAAAAATATATTTGATTGAATTTTGGAAATGATCCTAAAACCCATTGAACCGTAAACCTGAAAACAGTCGATTGTTTTGTGTTTGCTCACTTAAACCCAAACGTAACGGAGTCTGCCTTTCAAACTCTTGGGTGTTTAAGCCTCTTCTAGCTGGTTGTGATGATCCATTTTTGAGACATTTTTTGCAAATGTTGACTGATCAAGTCACGTGATGATGCAGCATTCCGGTAGTGCAAAATGGGGATTACCATTCAACTTGATCTGAGATTTCGGCACATTCTGCAATCGCTGTACTTTTTTCGGCATTCTTTCATGTCGTATGTTGCTTGCAGGGAACCTTGTGATGCTTGTGCAGCGTGCTTGGCTTAAATTTGAAATTGGCATTCCGTCTTGTAATCCCCTCGTAATTGCAAGTGTGATGATGTTTGGCAGGTAGCTGCGCACTTCCCCAGTTTCACTACCGTTTTCCAACAAAAGCAAGGCACACCGGAGCTACAGTGCGGGATGATGTGTCGGGAACACAAAGTGGTGGTTTGGGTGTTCTCGTGTGAAATCGAATCAAAACGAGAATGTGCTATCACAAGCTGAATTTGCAAACGGATCCAAACTTGTCGAAACCAGCGCAGATGGAACTATGGATGTTGCAGTGGGAGAACGCGCTTGTTGTGAATGACGAGTCAGTGAGCGCACAAAACTGGAATACGTATTGGTTTTTCACATGATGCAACGACCCATGTTTTGTAGTGGATCAACAGTTTGAGCAAGCGAGGAAATTGCAATCATTTCAATGCTGCGAAACATTAAAAGTTCCAGGTAATGTCATGGATGTGACATTTCAAATCACCAAAGATTGTAAGCCCAAAATTATCGATTCCATTCAATTGGTCCAATTAGCATACGTTTGATTGCATCTTGCCATCAATGATATGCGACAACATTCCGCCCGTGCCGCACCGCTTGACATTTAAGGTCGTGGGAGGAGCAGTAAGTCAAAGCTTTGGACAATGGTCGGCGTTTCATGGCAGGACTTGTTGTCAGAGTAACAGTTGTTTATAGTGCTTCTTGAAACATGTCGTTCAATCGACATTATTCATGTCATGTGACGATTGCGCCGCCAAAGATCTCTCATATAGGTTAAGGGGCGTTACGGGAATGAGTCCACGATGGATTTTGGCATTTTATGCGTTTTGAATTGAGACCAACTGCCAATGTTGACGACAGTAGCAGCTCACAAACGTGCTTCGCCAAACTTCCCTTGCATCCTAGCGAAGCATGGCTGCAGCCATGGCAGCCACCATGCGGCCTTTGGCACGGCAGGGCAGCAACATGATTTTTCAAATAACCGGTACCGATGGTGATGTATCGGCCAGGCCAGCAAGTGGACCTTTGCATGGGCTCCCAGATGCAGCCACGCCTGTTGGCTCACATCATGAATTGATGTGAATTGTGCTCATGCTTGTATTGCAGGCAAGATGAGCAATAGGGAACATGCCATGCATCGTTACTGCTTCATGCAATGGTTTTCGTGCGTGCTTACGGCAAAGCTGCGAGGTATGTTGGGGAGCAACGCCGGTCTCGATCGTCCGTACCGGAGGCGCCTTCGGCCATCAATAAGTTTCTTCTTTCTTTTTTTGGGCTGTGGTTTGATGGCTTCACCTTGTGTTGAAAGACTATGCCTGTCAGCAAAGCAACAGATTACCTTCATTTTGTTGATAAATTTGGGCTGTGTCAGCACATGCAATCCGCATGAACCTGTTGCTCAGATCCCGCTGACTTCTTCGGTGACCGCGCCAGTGGTACCGCATCCGAGCTTTTGAGCCTGCCACCCTTACGCAGAAACGCATTGGTTGCCAACAATAAAAGTTGCCTGTGGCCGCAACAGCTTGGAAAGCGGGCTTCGAGACTGTAAAACTGTGGTTTGAAGCTGCTGCCAGAATTTGAGTCAATGTCATGCATGGACAGCCTGAGGCAGCTGTCAACACGACGCGTGCTGCGGTTGAGGAGGAGCTGCAATTCCTCTGCTCCAGCGTGGCTGCTGATAGTTCTATCAGTTGCGAAACCAGTTTTCTAAGAGCTGCCATGCCAAGACTTCAGGGCATCACGACATACGCTGATCTCCAAAGCTTCCGAATTGTGCTTGCAGGCTCAAATCCTAGCTAGGCAGCCCACAGCACGAGCAGTAACATATCAGCAGTGGGCATCGTGGGGCCAGACAAAGGGCATGACATGAACCTGGGCCGTACTCTTTGGAGTATTTCAGAACGATTAGCTCTTCGAAACACACTTCCACTGGTAGGAATTTCGCAAAGGCCCAAATTTGCTGAAAGCCAGCAGTGCCTGCACAGACAAGTTGGGCACGCATGGCTGTTGCGGCAGCAATGCGCCATTTCCCCACCTGGCCACTCGGCTGCTAGAAAGCTTACCAGCCTCTGTGCTGCGGTCAACTCTCAGTATTTCTAAAGCAGCCCAAAGGGTCTGCATGTGCAATGGCAGTTGTTTAAGGGTCGAAGATTTTGTGGCATACATGAGGCCCTCGACCACTTCGAGCCACAGCCGAATACAGGCGCTGTGGGGCAAGGGCGGTCACGTCATGGATGCGCAGACTGCTTGAAAAATGATTCAGGAACATGCCCTTTGAATCAAATTTGTGTGGTGCATGATGTTAGCGTAGGTGCCACGTGATGACCTCTCCGCTGAGCCAGCGGTCGTTGCGCTGGGCACTTGCAGGGAAGTGCACAAAGCAAATCACGGTAAAAAGAGTCATGGGGCCAAAAAATATGGGCCGGATTGAGTTCTTGTGCAATGCCACACTCTTCTATGACAAGTGAGGGATGGCATTGATACTGCCCTCAAACGAGTTGAAGCAGTTGGACTGTGAAATGTTCCAGGAATGGATTCCGCGTGCTGCCTGAGAATAGCTCGATTGAGATACAGGCAGGTGCATGACAGTGTCTCAGGCATTCTGTCAAGCAGGACACATGCAAGCTGGATTGTCTAACAATTTTGACTGCAACCTTGCTCTACTTTCGATGCCATGCTGGCGCTGCAGGAACACAATGTCGCCGCATTTTCGATGCCGCAGGTGCACACACACCAATACTGCCGTGATTGGATCATATCATGAAACAAGAAAACCATGCAAGTGTCTGCAGGAAGCTCTTTCTTTCGAGCCTGACGATCACGCCGTCTTCGCACGCTTCATGAATGGCGACTCTGAGAGGCAACCGGAATGCCCCAATTGCTGGTTAAGTTTGGGCACATGCTGTGCTAGAAATTAGCGCTTCGCGGACCTTGTGCAATATGCGACTCAATGGGGATGTGCCAATCCGTGCGGTGTGTTGGCAGGAAGTTGCATTGCAACATTGAGTTGACTCACGAGGAGTTGGAGGCTGTGACTACTGCAATAATATTCCGTCGGATTTTGCAGCTTCTACCTCAAGTGGGCACATCCTTTGTCTTGCCAGGCGCTACGCCTTCTGCAGGCCAAGCGGTGTTGTGTAGACAAGTCCACGATGTTCCAGCGTGCTTGCCTCGCTAAGCACACGCTAAAAGGGCCTACTTCTTGCGATGTGGCAAGGATAGGATGCTGTGACATGCTGGGCTGACCTCTTCTCGCATGCATGCCTCGTGGAACCGCTGTGTGCATATGTTTGGACCAGGAAGAAGCAAGGGCGCAACACGTTGCGCTGCCGGTGTCCATATCTGCTTGAAGCCCAGCTATGCTTCCTGTGCTCTCTTCCCATCAAAGCTAATGCCAACACCTACACGTATTGTTAAACACGTTTGCAACGGATGGCTCATGCTGTGATAATGCAGAGCAGTTCGGCAGTCTTTTTCAGGCCTCCGCCACGCGGTATCTCAGCCGCAGCCCCGAGAAACACTCAAGCAGCGTACGCTGTTGGTGTTTCGACGTCATGGCCTTAAAGGTAGGTGCAGGTACACCATGCTCTGAGAGGCCACTCTCATGGGGACCCAAAGAAGGCGCTCAAAATGATGGAGGCGCAACTCTCCTGTACCTTGCGAAGGCCAAAACATTCAGCAGAGCTTTTTGGCTGACAGACCACCACTGAATGGCGCAGCTCCTACTTCACCAGGCTTGGGTCTCAGATGTCTTGGGTATGTGATGCTCAGCGCATCGAGCGGGGTCGGATATACAACAGATTACCACAGGATGCGCCCGCAGGATGGTTGTAGCAGGTATCTCTGCACCGAGGCCGCTCTCTGACACAGACATGGCAGAGGTAGGGCATTGCTGGGATCGAGTTTTCGTTTTGCATGATGAGAAACCACGTGCAGGATCTTAAGCTGGGTCTCGCATACTTCACAGGCCGGGACAAGGCCAGGGTGGGACCATTCACTGATTCACTGCACTTCGTGGTCATTGCTGGCTTCTGTTCTTCTGCTCCTTGGAGGCCCTGCGTCCTGTGCTTGTCTTCCGCGCTGCGCGCATACCAGCTGCATGGTGGTGGCCCCAATTGAGCTTTTCCTTGCTGGGTGTACCACATGTGGTGCTGAGAACCAAGCGCTCCAGCTGAGGCATAGGGAGAGGCGCTATGACCAGGTCATTAGAGCCTCGGGCCTACGCTCAACTCAACTAACCCAGCCGTACTTTCTTCTCAGACCTTTTGACAAGGTTCTGGTCTTTTGCATGGAGTTCTGGCCTTACAGTTCAGAGAGAACATCATCTCAAGGCTTCTGTAGATTGTACACTGCCTGCTGCTCTTTTTCATGGGTTCTTGCTTGTTTCCAAGGTATTTTCTTCGGTACATGGCAGTCACGGGCTTAGCAGACGTCGCGCTCCAGATTTCCTTCAAGTTGCGGCCAAATCTTTGAGCTGCCACTCTGTTCCGCCCACGGACAGTTGTCGACAGCTGTGCCCCAGGTCCCTGGGAAGATCGAGAGCATCAACGTGGTCATAGATCTGAAGGAATCCAGGGCAGCAGCTTAGTGTTGCCATCGGATGTGTTGCCCAACATGGCTTGAGGCTTCTGAAGGAGAGGAAGAGAATCCCCTTGTACTATCACTCAAGTCTACTTGAGAAGTTCTGTAAGGGATGTGTGTGTGTGTGTCAATTTTGCTGGTGCTTGGAGATTGAAGTGGTAATCATGCCAGGACTTGACCCTCTCTCAAATTCCCATCGGAGTGCTGCGCGAAGTGCACAGGACATCGATGGCAAGTGACATTCTTACAAACTCTTCAGCTGTTACTTTTTACAGGAGCATGGGAATGTACTACGTGGGTCCGCCGGCCTCACTTGCTGTGATCGCTAGGGCAATGCAGTCTGTCATGCGCACTGATTCCACCCCGTCATTAGACATGCAGGTCGCATCTTCCGATTTTACATTTGCAACATGTCTGGAGCTTGGCCCATACACGTAGCACAGAGGAGTTGGCAGCTTCAGGATGAAGCCAAATGTGTTGTTTCTGCCGTGCAGTGACTGCTTGGCCAGATTTGAGCTCCTGCGGCCAGAGGCCTCGCATTCTGGGAACCTTGGTTCCGTTGGCAAAGAAGGCTGGCACAGCAACTGCTCAAGTCTTTTAGGTGCTGGGCCGATAAGGCAAAGCCAAAGCCGATCCACATTCAGCTTTCTTCCACAGTCTTCTTGGGCAGGTGCTCACAGAGCGTCAGCGGCAGAAGCTCGTCTTCGTTTGCAGGCGGGATGACAATTTCTGCATGGCAGTCCTTCCCTGCAAGCCATCCAGGTCAGATGACATCACGAAGGACATCGCAGAAAGGTTTGGGCCTAAAACCATGAATTCGTCATTGGGAAGAGACTGGCACTGTTCAGTTCTGTATGGCATATGTCTTTAAGTTTCAGGGCTTAGGCTGTGATCTGCCTTCTGTGGATAGCAGGCAACTGGAGGAGGACCTTGGCGGCTCACGGCCAATGCTGAAGGCCGGGGTTTAACGATTTCCCCAGAGGTGAAAGGCATTTAGGTGGCTGCCGCCTGAAGCTGGTGCAGGAATTCTTTCCCTTTCCGCTGCTGCCGGGGCCCTTCGAGCCTGACGTGCCTCCTTCACCGCAGCACTCGTCTCAGCCGTTCAAGCTGATGCTGGGTTGTTGGTTGGCCGGTTGCTGAGCCAAACGTTCTCAGGTCTTCCGCTGAAGCAGTCCCTGGCTCCGAGCTCAGAGACTTCCGTTTCTGAGTTTTTTCTATGTTCCCTGCTTCTTCTGGTCAGGTGTTCACAAGGTGCTCACGGCCGAGGGGTTCAAGGGCCGACTCTGGAACTGGCGTAAAAAGCCGGAGGAGAACCAGAGGCAGTTGCTGCAGTAACCCCTTAGGGGGGGAAGTGGGTGGAATCAAGCCGGATCCGGGTGTAGTGTAGCTTTGCTATGGCGTGCAACTACGTTCCACTTTGTGTGATGGCTCGACGGCCTCACAAGATCTGTTTGGGTAAATGCATGAAGGCTTGATTTCTCGGACTGCGCAGCTGACATCTTTCGCAAGTGTGGCTTGCCTGCCAGACTCTCAGCACTTGGTTATAAGGTTAGTCGAGATGCTTAAGAACGTCAGTCGAGTTGCTTTAGTGACAGACAGTCACTGTGCTTCTTTCAAGCTGCAAAGCACTGCCAAAGCCTTGCTTGTGTTGAAGAAGTATTACTGGTAGCTCCTCCTATCAGGTAGTGTAATGTAGTATGAGCAGAGCAGCATGATCATCTTGCGAGGTGCCTGCAGAAATTGTCCCAAAAGCCACGCCGCCAGCTGCAGGCGCTCCTTTGTCTCAGTCATTGCTCATCGTAAGCTCTGACATGCGGGACCACTCGCCTGCAGCTTTCTCGACCTATCCTCCTTTGTCTCAAGCCTTTCCAGAATGGTCTTGTCATCTGACTGGCTTCCTTCCATAAGCCTTCATGGTGTCACAGACACAAGTAGAAGCTTCAGCCTCCTTGAGCTGCCCTTGAGCACAATTCTTGCTCTGCAGGAAACTGGACTTGCTAACAGCAATTGTCAGGACGGACGCTCGTCGTCATAGCATAAGATCACCATCTGGTTGGGATCCTGCAGTTCACCTGCTTCTGCAGCGAATCTTGCGGAATCTGATAGTCTCTGCATGGCAAATTTGCGGGCTGATTGCAGGCCTTCTTTCTGAAGGAACACGGACGCCGCGGGAGGTGATGATCACGAATTCGATGGACGAGGACCGATGGTTTTGGGGATATTGGAGCGTTCAGGTTCCAGATTGACTTGGATTTTTTCTGTTTGGTGCGTGAACCTCACAGATCATTCCCCCACTGGACTCCTGTCCCAGGAGCTACCACATCCTGAGGCAGCGGTGGTCTCTGATGAGAGCACCAAGGACGACAGCCCGGTTTAGGTACACAAGGCCTGAATATGACCAGGAGATAGATCTGTTGCGTCTCCTAGTAGTGGCCTGGCGAGATGGCGCTGGAAGCCAACACCACTCGATGAACAGCTGCACCTCACAGCCACCCAGACTAGGGGATGGCACAACCTGTTGGTGGTATCAACCGAAGCCACAGTTGCGGGACGTTACAGCTGGATCTCAGTTGAGCTTCTCACAGGATGTGTTCATGTCATTTTCTGTTGATTTGTTGCAGGTAACTAGCTTTCACTTGGTCTTCCAGTAGGATGCCTTCATGTTACTTTCGTGAAAGGTGGTGAGGGTGGTGAAGGAGGTGGTGGTTGTGGTGGTGGTGGTGGGTGAGCGGGCATTGGTCTGGTAGTGAACGTCAATCGGGCCAGCCATGATGGAATGATGGAATGAATTATTATTGTCCAGGTCTCAGATGACGTTGTGAAGCTGGAATCATGAAGTGAGGCTTACAGGATTCCTTGGAAGTTGCAAGTTACTGTGCAAACATGTAAAGAGTTCAGCGTCACTTCAAGAAACGTTGAATATCCGTCAAATGCCGGACAGGACTTGCCGACAGTCCGGCTTTACTGCATTTCTTGTCGTTTTCTTGCCATGGCCATTCCTCATGCTTGTTCTGTGAGCTTCCTTGTAATTCTCTTGTCAATTTATTTCTGAAGTCAATTTCTCAAGTCATTGTCTGCAATTCTCTACCAGCATCCTTTCAGGTGCTTGTTGATTCTCTCATGTGCCCGCGCCTCAATTTTGCAGCAGGGTACCAGGTGGAAGTCTCCACGCTGCCGCCCCTTCCCCCGTTCTCCATCTATCCGTACCCCCGCACCTTGCTCATCCACCCCAGCCGACCGGCCCAACCCCAACCTCAAGATGTCGCATGCCTCAACTGACACTATCTGACAATCAAAGCAGAGAATGTCAACACAATCACCATGGTAGTGAAAAGGGATACTGATACCCCAGAGCCAGCATGAACCGGCATGTCAAAACATGCCGGCTTGGGAGGACAGCCTCAGCAACGCTGATGAGGTGGACTTGTCTGATGGAATCCTGTTTTTACTTCCTCGCCAATCTCTGAAGTCTGAAGGTTTGCCATTTTGTGCCTACCTCCAGGCAGCTTTGGACGAACCCCGCGGAATTCACGATCGCCGCGCGAAGCTACAAGAGGTCGAGGTTGGAAGGGTGATTTGGACAGCAGTTTTATTCAACGCACCAAAGACCAGAGAGGCAAGCAAGGGGCTCAGCAAGGGTTTGCTTTGCATCGCAGGTTGTGCAGCGCCGACGTTGCTGCCTATTTTCCGGCTGTGGCGGTGGTTAGTGTGGCCCGGGGAATGCGACGAGCTTGCCTGCTACTTCTTGTTGGAGAATAGAGCAGAGTAATTGTTGTGAACCGTTGGTAGTCGTGAGCATTGTCACACTTTCGCTAGCAGGTGTTCTAACTGGCGCTGGTGGTGGCAGTGGTGGTGGCGGCGGGGGTGGCCGTGGCGGTGGCCGTGGCGGTGGGCCACGTCGGCGTCGTCATCATCATCATCATCGTCGTATTTGTAGCAGTAGCAACTAGCTGGAGCAGGAGCAGTGGAAGCAGAAGTGATATGTCAGAAGTAGCACAATCCACAAAACGTTTGTAGTGTGTTGTGGTGTGGAGGATACTTGTGCTGTTCACTTGTATGTGGTTTTCTGCGTACTGAAGACTGTGCAGAGCTCGTGGTTGAGCTACATCCCAGTGCCATCAGTTTTTCGGACGTTTCACAACTGCAGTGCAAAGTTGCGCAGCTTGCAGGTGGCTCAACATTCCAAGAAAGGTAACAAATCCAAGCACTGCCTGCAACGTGTTGCCCAGCCTTTTGAAGGATTCACCTTCTGTGACGGGCTGCTTGTCTAGCCCAAGCCCAGTAGTGAACAGAGAATTGTAGTGGTCGTCAGATGTCTGTTGCTGGCTTGCATGCCGAAACGGAGGGTCCCAGGTTCTGTATAGGAAATTAAGATTCAGCTGCTGACTCTATCCGCTGACGAGAGTGGTACAGCTGCGTGGCAGTTAGTGCTTCGCCAAGTGCAGGCTCCAGCACTTTTTCGTATGCAGGTTAGACACTCGCAAATGCTATGACGCTCACTGCATAGTAAGCATCAGGCGATAATGGGTAGTGTTGTTCCGAGGCTTCTTACTGCTGTTGTGCGTTGATGAGAGTTGCCCCTTCCAGGATTGGCAGGTGAGTGTAGGCTTGCGATGCTTTACATACCGACCTGCTGTCTTCGAACCTAAATGTAGACGTAGCCTGCATCCAAGCTGCCACGGCGAATTCGTGGCACATGCTATGATGCTCAAGTTTTCGTTAATTTTTGCCCGAAGGCCTACAGAAGGCCTAAAGGTGAAGAGTAGGCGAGCAGAACTAGCTGGCGGCTGGTCAGCAGTTGCTGGCTCGCAGTCTTGGGTGACTCTGCAGAGTCGGACAAGTTGTTCTAAACTGTCAACTTTGTGATCTTTTCCTTTCTGCTGCAGAGATCCGCAGGCCCAGCTCAGACTACAGCAATCAGCAAGAGACTGATCTGCCCTGAGAAGATGGGACTGTTCTGGTGCATGTATCAGCAGGTTGCCACTCGCGTTTGACTGGTTACCACTTGTGTTTCATGTTTTGACGGGCCAGCTGGTGGAGGGTGCCAAGAATTGCAGGGTCGCAGGACACACATCCCATGAGATCCTATGTCATCTTAGATGATGTGTAAAAAGCACACTAGCAGGCATGGCCGTTGTTGCAGCGTGCAGTGCTGCGCAGAGGGGTGGGATGGCACCTTTTCAGATCATGTAGAATTCAGTAAGTCGTGAACATGATGGGCTCCATGTATCGCGCTTCGGCTGCGTCAATGCTGCGTCAATGCTGAATCTGACTGGAAGTTGCCGCATTTCTACCCCTGCGCAAAATTCGGTGCACACCTTCCGGACGCTCTAAATCGGCCTCCGCCCACCTCTTCGCAGGGAATTATCCTCTGAATCAAGTACGAGTAGCTAGCGCAGGGTTGTTTGACACCTCTGATCACACCATGTGCAGATCGGTGGCTTTTCTTTTCTTGCCTGCTGGCATTCAGGCTCCAAAAGCTTTCCTGCGAAGATGTCAGCATTTGCCCGTGTGAGTGACCCTCTTGCGGATGCTTCTGTGAAAAACGATGATCAGTTCTTGCAGCGTTTTTTGGTGTGACCTTTTTTTGGTGCATGTTGCCGGCAGGAGCCCCAGCCTCCTCAGAAGTCACCGCCTCCGCGACCTTCCCAGCAAGGCTTCTTACTGCGGAGTGACTTGTTTCGATCGTGTTGCCCAGGGTCGAGGAAAATCTTGATGAGGGAGAGCAGCAGGCGGGTGTTGGGTCTGTTTGTCAAGATGTGCATCTTACTGCAGTACCATGCCTGTACAGCCCCTACGTATCTTTGGAAAACTTGCAGTGCACCTACAATGCCGAGCGGGTCATTGGCAACGGGACCTTCGGCATCGTGTGCCTTTCTCATCTCTTACGGCCCGGGTTCAGCTGTGAGAGACTTTGCTGTAAGGCTTAAGTCTCATTTTCTTAGTTTAGGTATTCCGCCCACATTGTTGAAACCAACGAGACTGTCGCCATCAAGAAGGTGTGCATGGAGTCCCCTGCGCGCGAGAAAGCGTTTACTGGTGTCAGGTTTTTGTCGACCGACGGTATCGCAATCGAGAGCTGCAGGTCGTCTTTTGTCACAGCTGGTTGGTAGTGCTGAGGGGTTGCATGCGCAGGTTTGGCGTGAGATGCACCATCCAAATATTGTGACATTAAAGGCAGGGAAGTAATGTAAGCGTGCTGTGCGGCTTGCGTTGCAGATCAGCCATGCAGTCTTGTTGGTCAGTATGTTTGTCAAGTCGGCGTGGAAGATGCTGCTGTGCTTAAGCAGTGATGCAATGCTCCAGCGGCCAGCACGCCTTCTACACTTCCGGGGACTCACCAGACGAGCTGTATCTTAACATGGCCACACCCTTATCCGAGCAATAGCTTAAGACACATATTGCAGGGAGCACCAATGTTCCTAGGTGATGGAGTACGTTCCCGAGACCGTGTACTGTGTCATGAAGCGCTTCGGTTCCTCGCGGCCTGCTTTCAGTAGCTCGCGTTGGCTGCAAGCTTTCGCTGAACAGCATGATGCTGCTACGTGCAAGGACAGGCCCTCGGGATGCAAAGTGGTTGTTGTGCCGCAGACTCATTGCTCTGAAGCCAACATTCCTCAGAAGCAAGCAGAGGCTCATACACGCAATGCCACAACCTGTCACTTAGACTTCAAACAGCCATGTTATGCAGCTTATGCAGCGTTCTTGGATTTTAACTGCGCATGGTTGGAGATGGTTGCGCAGAAGAGAAGGCAGCTCGATTGTTCCACGCTGGGTCACCAAGGGCAAGCGGGCCTTGATTTGTGCGATGTGTGTGCGAAAGAAAGGGCCTGTTTTGATATGTCAGTTTCAACCGCGCGGCAAGCCTTTCTTCTGGTGGAGGTATTTGATGTTCGAGGTGCTCTTTGCCTCCAAGCCTGCCCGGGCTCGGCGACTAAAAAGATGTAAGAATTGATTTAAAGGCGTTTCTGTCTTGGAGGCTTCACCCGCAGAAGAGCTAGCCTCGGAGATTAAGGAGGCCATGGCGCTCCTGCCCTGCCATTCCTGAACATTCTTCTTGACGTTCCGAGGCCTTTGTATCCAACTGGGGCGTACTAGCTGAGGGTCAGGCCAGGATCAACCAAAATTGCCTCTTCTCTTCAGATGTGCGGTAGCAAGGCCAGGCTGGCCTCACGTTGCGAAGCCGTACTTTTTTGAACATGGTGGGTTGGGGTTCCGGGAGGCCAACTTGCGGCTACTCTACTGGAGCCCTGCAGCCCAGCCCTTGAGCTTCAAGATGCCAAAGGCAAACAGCCGCCTGGAAGTTTTGAGGTGCACTTGGGAGTGTTGCGTTGTGCCACCCACCTGGCGGGCAAACTGCGAGCCACGCTAACCATGATGCTGCTTGTTCGCTTGAGATCACTTGAGGTTTTTCAGAGTGTTTCAGAGACTGCTTTCATCATGAACGTACCTGAGGACAGTCCTGAGTGGTGTGACTGTGCAGCTTCGTGCCCGGACCTGACATTTCCAGTTCAGCAGGCTTTTGACGAACGTGTTCAGCAGTTCTCATGGCTTGTTCAGATGTCCGCGTGTGTTGCAGGTCCATTTGCTCACGGGCGAAGCGCGTAATGCTGTACGCTGTGGACGGGAACTTGTGCGCAGGCGCTTTGGGCCTACTCATGCGTTGAGTTTTGCAGGCTTGGGTGTACATGCTCTATTCATCACCTGCAATCTGACTCAAGGAAGTATCAAGCTCTCTTAGTCTGGCGTACCATAAGCTAAATGGTACCTTGGTATGAATGCTGCGCTTGCGTTAAATGCACTTGCATTAGTTGGACGGGACTTCCTATGATGCCCACGCGGATGCCAAGCTTTTGGTGACAGCTGCGCTAAAAGAGCACCAGGTCAAAGGCCTTGTGGCAACATTCCACTGCGAAGCTGGCTAACATTTTGGCTAATCATGTTCAAGTGAGATACGGAAAGGGCATTGCCTCCACTACGGGGAGCCTCCCGAGAGCAAACTGCGAGCAGGGCGATCCCTTCTTGGATGTTTGTTCATCTTGTGGGACCCAACCCCTTTTCAGAGTGGATCTAAGCATGGTTAGCGCTTTCCCTGCTTTCAGGGTTGAAACCATGGGCCTCTAGTATGGGCCCTCAGCCCTCATATACACACCTCTTGTATACCTCATATATACACCTATTGTATACCGTATATGATATATGTATTCTTAGGAGTCCTAGAATGCCCTAAAAGGCCTAAGGGCCCACAATAGGGGCCCATACTTTCAACCTTAGACTACTGGGGTTGGCCATGGCATCGATGCCGGCCAGGGTACGGAATGTGCTGCTGCCCCAGCGGTATCTTTGGTGTTCGTGTGGTGGCCTTGCATCTGGGGATCGGCTTTTAAGAGTTCACCGTTTTCTTCTCCTCCCATGTCCCGCTGGCAAACGGACGCTGATGGCGTGGTCCCAGGCCACAGGACCGCTCGATCTGAAAGCAAGCAAGCCTCCAGAGCTGCATGCACTGTCGGCCGTGTCACGGCAACAGTTTCGCGGGCCACCTCTGTCCAGGACAGGAGCTCTGGAATTCCCTGCAAAGGGCCAGGCAAATGCCTTTGGGCTCCAGTGAGTCGCAGACACCTATGTCCACACTTTTCTGCCCAGCCTGTCGAATCCTGCCGCGTCTGGACAAAGGCTGGTCTTTCTTTGGGTGGTGATCGTCGCGTGTCGCCTGTGGCTGGATCTTCTTGCTGCTGATTTCCTGGCCTGTTTATGCTTGTTGCATCTTTCTCAGCAGGAGGCTTGCGCGGCCCGCACTGACTGGACTTGGCTTTTTGTGCACTTACCTTGCGGCCAGGCACGCCGCTTTCAGCAGGTTGTCTCTTCCCGTGTTGGTGGACTGCCGTTCTGCCTCTGTATCTCCCTTTTTTTGCATGCTGGGAACTCCCGCGCAGTTCCTTCGGATGCCCTGGGGTGTTTTTTTTCTCTGTGCATTCTGCACAAGTCCTCAGCTGCCGCATCTTGGAAAGATCTGTCCACTGCCAAGGGCCTCTGCTATTTGCTCCGCCGCTCCCTCCATTTTTTTGGAGGATCACTGTGTGTCTCGTCCACATCAATCAGCTTATAAGCTCAGTCGTTCTTCTCAGCCTGCCTCTGTGGGTCTCCGATCCAGTGATGCCGTTCTGCCTCCTGGCTTGCCTCCCGACCATCCAAGCTTTCAGGCTGGATATCTACCTTTGCCTCGTGCGGTGCGCTGTCCTGAGGGGCGTTTTGGTGCATCATCTTCTCGTGGGCCAATCCATTGCACAGGTTGAGCACATTTTTGGTGTGATGCGGCCCTTTCCGTCTGTAGCTGCATCCTGTAGATTCCGTTTGAGATCTATATACATGTCTCTGACTCCGCCTGCAACTGCAGGTCCTTCAGCCACTGGACATAATGCGCTTATCGGACAACAAAGAAAGTTCACTATCCACTGTTGTCCTGCCACTGTTCGAACTCAGACGTAATGGACGATTGCTAGACTCAAGCTGCATGCATTTGGATGCGGATGAATTTCTTTCTCTTCATTTCTTTTTCTTCGTTGTTCAGCTCTCTCACTCTGTCCCTCTCTCTCTCTCTCTCTCTCTTTCTTTCTCTTTGCTGTGCTGTGTTGACAGATGGCAGCATGCAGCCCTGGAACGTGCTGGACCGGCAGATCGGGTGGCAATCCAGCAGGCAGAGGGGACTTGGGACTTTGCATTTCTACCAGGAGGGAATGTTTTGCCTTGCTTTGGAGCTTTTTTGGAGTGCGCAGATCCTCCGGTCCCAGCCCTGATCAAGTTAAATGGTAGAACCTCGTAACCTTTTGTAAGCAAAAGTAGTGCCGGTCTACATCTTTGAGTCCTCACCCATGTTTAGTGCAGACGGGAAACGAACACTGGAGAGATTTCCTGCATTGAAGCCGAAGAAAACAAAACCTCCCCCTTTTGGCGAAAATTCCCAAGAAGCGTGGCAGTGCAGGGCTTTGAGACAGAGCTGCGCCTCCTCGCAGAGGTTGGGCAATAGTTGCATGTAGAGTCAAACTTGTGCAGTTGGCCTGCATTCTGCCATTCACAAAGCCGGTGTGATCTTGCAGCTCGAAGCGAAGGTGAAATCAAGCCATATTGTTGCCTTCGGTCGAGTCGGCGAATGAAGCTACCTTCTTGTGACATCACGCTTGCGGAACTTCCATCGTGTCACGGACAACATGCTGCTGCAGTGGAGATAGTAGCCCAACACGCGCCTGTCTTCTCGGGCGTCCCGCGGAATCGTGGAATTCCGCATCAGAGCAGCATACGCTGCTGAAGGGTGAGCCGCCAGTGACCTACACATGCTGCAGCGAACAGAAATTTAATCAAGAAATCAGTGGCCATAATCTTCTCTGTGTTGCGGAGCTGTTGTGATGCCTCCTAGTGTGACTGGTTGGCACGAGTAAGAGGCCGCTTTGCAGGTGAGGACAGCCTGCTGTGGTGCTTGCATTCTGTTGCTGCGAATGCCAGACGTGTTATGCCGCTACTCAAAGGCTCAAACATGTAGTGGCGGACCTCTGTAAGAATAACAGGTGTGGGGGGGCTTTTTTTTTGGCGCCTTGATTCATTGGAAGATGTGCAATTGCACTTGAGGAAGTCGAGGGCGTCTGATATGTCTAATTTGGTGTTCAATGACTGTCAAGTGGTCAAGCTTGTTTACCCGGTGAGGTGGCAAGATCTGTGACAGACTTGCTTTGGGCTTTTCAGCTGCTTGCCTCGAGCTTCCAGCTATGTGGCCTCCTTTGGCCGGGTGGTGGTCGGCCAGCTCTGGCCTTTTGAGGCCATGAAACCACGCACCCCTGGCAGCGCAGAGCGCCTTGAACAACGCCTCGAGGCACTAAGACGTGCTTTTGCCCTGGTGAACGAACTTGCAGAAGTGGTTAAACTTTACAAGGCAGAGAAGCAGAAGAAGGCCCTGGCCAAACACGCCAGCGTCACTGCCACGAGACAGTGCAACTTGGTGACATGATGTGACATGCTTTGGGTTTCCTGCTTCTAGGCAGGCTCTTCAGAGTTTGCACTCATGTAGATGCTTGCGATGCCAAGACTGGGAGCCTGCGTCTACTCCAGTGGTGCGGCGACGGGCCTCCCTAGCATTGCGCCAGGCAGGCGAGTGTGTGAGAGCTCTGGTCTAAAAACCACTTCCTCAGCTCTGACGTTGTTTGCCATCTTGCAGGTGATCGTAAGTGGGACAGAGACTGCCCTCAAGGCCTGTCATGCCCCTTAGCCTCAATTTTGTGCTTCTCTTATCGCTCGTCAGGTGAGGACTGGAGGCTTGGTTCAGGACATTGCATACCATGAGATTAGTTCTGTATAACTGCATGACTGCATAATATGTTTTGCGTTTCTCGCAAAGTTCTCGCAGCTTGTGGTATGGGCCACAACAGGACTTTCTGAGGAGAGATGAGGAAGCAGGCACGATGGGATATTTCATTGTCCTTTGGTAGG